CTTTGTTCATATTTCATGTCTGAGATTTACAAACACATTTGGCGTTAGATTTACAAAAAAAAAAAAAAAAATTTAAACCTCATTCTACAACAGGAATTTTAATATGGCCATTTCCAGACTGCAGTTGCAATGAACATGTGTGTTTGTGTGAAAAAATTGTTTGCCAGTGAAAAAATGTGTTTGCCAGTGTATGGAGTAACGGATTACTGAATAATAGTAATGCATTAGATTAAAAAAAAAACGAAAAGGATAAAAAAAAAAAAAAAAAAAAAAAAAAGACAAAAGACACAAAGGAGAAAACTGAAAATTAGGTTTGAACAATGGTAATGTGTGTGGGTGGCATTACACATAGAGGATGATGTCAGGAGGACATGATTTGCAAAACATCTGCTTAAAGGAGAAGTATGGGTTTAAAAAAAAACCAAAAAACAAAAAAAAAAGCTCAATTTCCACGCTGCAAATCTCTGTGATGCTGCAGTTGTACCACATTGGCTCTAAGACTGAGAACTAAGTGATCACATGACTGATGATCACTCAGTTCTCAGCCTGTTCTGAGTGGAAAGCATTGACTGTCAGTCACTACTCTCTACTCCTTTAGAGCGCTGGTCAGGGAAGGGGGCGGGACAAGACAGCTCTGATTTGCAGTCATGCATTTAAAGGAGGAGCCAGCTGTCAAGTAAGGCAGCGGAGTAGATCCATACAATAATACAAATGAACTGGTGCAGCTCTTAAAGCGGAGTTCCACTCATCCTGTTTAAAAAATAAAAGTTGTCAGCTACAAAAACTGTAGCTGCTGACTTTTAAAAAAAACAGTCACTTACCTGTTCCTCGGTCCCGCAGTGTTTTCCCCCACAGCCCGTTTCACCGGCTGTCCTGTATTCCAGGAGGTCGGCATCTTCAGTGTGGGCACCCGGCTGTGATAGCTTGCGGCTTCACAGCCATATACCCACTGCACATGTGCGAGTAGTGCTGGGCCTCATGAATGGTCCTGTAGTCTTCTGGGATCTGTCACATGTCCCAAAAGACTACAGGGAGGGAGAGAGGGAGAACACCTTCCAATTTCAATCACCTAGGCGATCGGACCGGAAGTGGGAGCGGGTAGCTGTCAGATTTGGGTACCCACTCCCCCCCCCCCCCGCCCCCCAAAAGTGCTAATCAGTAATGGGGAGCGAGGGAGCAGTCCTTAAAGCATAACTTCCCCTTTTGGGTGGAGCTCCGCTTTAATAATAGCCAGTTCATTAGCATTGTTTGCACTATTTCCCCTGGGGGGGCTATAGGAGGTGTAGAGCAGCTTTCTAATATGAGGGAACATACCATAAGTGCAGAGTATTGGATTCTCTTTTGGATCCTGACAATACTGTTCGCATCCTTCCGAAGCCTGGGGTGGCTCTACCCTGTCAGCTATAAACTGGCTCTGGGTAACAGGAGGACAAAAGTACTTTTGTGACCCACAGGACAAGTATGTGTCAAAAAAGTTTTGATTCTTTTAAAGTGTGGCTGCTATAGAATAAAATATATGCCATGAAAAGATGCCCGTTCATTCCATTAGTTGTGACAAAATCTTGGCGAGCTTGGGGGTTCAGAACTTAGGAGCCCTTAAAAAAGTGATATTAAAGGCAATTTTTTTTTTTTTTTTAAATAACAAACATGTTATACTTACCTGCTCTGTGTAATGGTTTTGCACAGAGCAGCCCCAATCTTCCTCTTCTGGGGTCCCCCTACGGTGCTTCTGTCGAGTGCTCTCAGAGCAAGCAGCCTGATATGTGGGGCTTCCGAGCTGCTGCTCTGTGTGTCCATTCACACACACAGCCTCAGTTCGGCCAACCCCCTCTCTCTCATTGGCTCACTGGGTGTAATTGACAGCAGTGGGAGCCATTGCTCTCTCAGCCAATGAGGGCTCATGAGCTGTTCCTTAGACCATTACAAAATGATTGGTCATACTGATCACATGATAATGTAAAAAAACTGTCACAAATGGATTTCCATTCATGAACGGTTTGCTTACGGTTGTGATCTGTGATTGGCCCACAGCAATCACATGGTACCTGGCTACCTGTATCATGTTATTAGCTGTAGCAAATCACAAATTATAACCATAAGCAAGCTGTTAATGAATGTTAACTCATTCGTAACAGCTAAAAACTATTGCTTATACCAGCCTCTCTCAACCAGGGTGCCTTAAAGTTTCTTCAGGGGTGCCTTGGCAAAATATCTAAAAGTTGTCCAAAACTTGTCTACAAGCCAGCAAGTGGAAGAAGCCCGCCTTTTAGTTACACAAAGCCACAGGTGTTCATCGTGCACCATTACGACCTTCTAGCCGCCGGCGTCCTGACAACCAATCACATCATCAGTTGATGAGGAGGTCAGCTGCCTGCACAACATCCTAGTTTGACCCTCCCTGCCCTTCTCCATCAGTGCTGGGGTCACATTAGCTCAGTGTTAGAGAAAAACTGAGGGAGAGGAGAAACAATGGCATACTAGTCAGTACCAGTGTGCAAAAGCGTATTTGCTTTGGAAGAATAAATCACCTCTAATGTTGGGTGTCCTACATGTGTGGATGTTGCTGCGTTATATAAAACTATTGGAATCGTTTTTTACATTTTAGAATGGGGTGCCTCGGGACTGTCCATAATTTTAGAATGTGCCTTGACTGAAAAAAGGTTGAGAAACACTAGCTTATACAGTGATCATCACTGCAATAATAGTGTAAAAAAAAAAAAAAATTCCAAGCACCCTTCCCAGAGTAGTACAATCTCAAAACTGTAAAAAAAATTAAATTAAGTTTTTTCTTTACATACTGTCACTAATCAGTATCCCTGATTACTGCCACACCAGTCATATGATGACACTACTGCACTTTAATTTCTTCATTTTCCAAAAAAATTGTGGCAAAAATTTACAACTTCAGAAAAACTCATCATGCCTCTTACTAAATAACTCAGACTGTCTACTTTGTGAAAAGGGCTCATTTGGGGTGTATTTGTACTGTCCGGACATTTTACGGCCTCAAGAAATGAGATCGGCTGGCAGTACATCAGGAAAACACACACACGATCCTATAACTTTCACACAGACTATGTTAGCCTGATTTGGGCGGTTATTTTTTTACCAAAGTATCAGAATACATTTTGGCCAAAATTTCTGAAGAAATATTATTTGTAAAGTTTTATAACAGAAACAAAGACACACGCATTTTTCTTCCAAAATTTTCTGTACTTTTTTGTATAGCAAAAAAAAAAAAACAAAAACCACCAAAAAAACTAGTGGTGATTAAATAATACCAAAAGAAAGCTCTATTTCTGTGAATAAAAATTATATCAATTTCATTTGGGTACAATTTTCTATGACCGCACAATTGGCAGTTAAAGAAGCACAGTGCTGATTAGCAAAAAAATGCCTTGGTCATGAAAGGGGTAAAACCTTCCGAAGGTCAAGTGGTTAAAGCGGAGCTCCACCCAACAGGGGAAGTTCCGCTTTAAACACTGGTCCCCCGCTCCCCATTAAGGAATTGGCACCTTTGGGGGGCGAGCGGGTACCCGAATTTGACAGGTACCCGCTCCCACGTCCGCTCCGAACGCCTAGACAGTCTTTTGGGACACGTGACAAGTCCCAGAAGACTACAGGACCATTCGGGAAGCGCCACGCTACTCGCGCAAGAGCAGTGGGTACCCAGCTGTGAAGCTGCAAGCTGTGACAGCCGGTGCCCACACTGAAGATGCCGGCGCCCAGGGAGAGAAGACGGCCGATAAAACGGGCTGCGGGGGACACACCACGGGACCGAGGCACAGGTGAGTGTGTGTTTTTTAAAAGTCAGCAGCTACAGTTTTTGTAGCTGCTTTTATTTTTTGACAGGGTGAGTGGATCTCCGCTTTAATGACCCAGTTACGCAAGAATTAATTTGTATATTTCATGGCAAAGAACAAAGTATAAAAAAACCAGAGGACCGATACATCAGCCAGAAGACCAGCATTTTCAAAAGGAGGTCAGCAACAGTTTTCCTTTAAAAAGGACCCCATTTTATCTTTAAAAAAAAAAATTGAATTGAACTATATTAATAGGCTGCAGCTGACATCATATGTTACTGCATGGGTGTCAAACTGGCAGCCCTCCAGCTGTTGCCAGACTACAAGCCCACATGAGGCATTGAAAGATTGAGAATTACAAGCATGACGCCCAAAGGCAGAGGCATGATGGGACTTGGAGTTCACCAACAGCTGAAGGGCCACAGTTGCCCACCCGTGCTAGGCTGTAAAGGTGGCGCAGGTCCGTTCCTAATCCTGTATGGGGATGATACCATACCCAAGCCAACATTGACCTCTAGACTCTGAGGTCCACCCTTCTGGTAAGCATTTGCATTTTCATCCCCATACAGGACTAGGAATGGACCTGCGCCACCTTCACAGCCTACCACATTGCACCACACAGCTGATATCCACAAAAAAAGGAAGTTACTTCTATAATGGAGGACATCCAAGGTTGTTTTATTAAAAATGCTTCAAAAAGCACTTCCAAAACTTTGTGTAAAACCACCCACTTGCACTGCTTGTGGTGTGCGTGATGACGTCAGCGTCCAGAAGCTGTGCGATGTGGGGATATATTTAAAAAAATTGAATTGAACTAGTATTAATAGGCTGCAGCTGACATCATATGCTACTGCACGGGTGTCAAACTGGCGGCCCTCCAGCTGTTGCCAGACTACAAGTCCCATGAGGCATTGCAAGAGAGACAGCTACAAGCATGACTCCCAAAGGCAGAGGCATGATGGGACTTGTAGTTTCGCAACAGCTGGAGGGCCGCCAGTTTGACACCCCTGTGTTACTGGGAATATGCTGTCTGCTTGTAAGAATTCTGCTTCACCGGGATCCCTGAAAAATTCAACTTTGCTTAGAGACTCCCACCCCTGCCCAGAGGTTCAGCAATGCTGCCACTGACTAGTAAGTCTAGCTTCTATAAAAATGTTCTGGCTGCTGACGCCCTTCACAACTGGAAGCAATCCTTACCTGCAGCATGGAAGCCAAGTTCGCCATCTGCTCATTGAGCGCACTCTCCGATTCCCTGTAAGTCAGACAGGTGAACTGGTATTCCTCTGGGTCAAATGAGTCTGCACCCTGTTGCTCCACGTCATTGGCAACCCCAACATAGTAATCTTCTATATCTCCCGGGTCGTCGTCTTCCTCCTCTTCCTCCTCCTCACAATTAGGGTCGTAGTCTTCATTGCTGTCTGATCCTTGACTGTTCATATCGACAGACATTTTACCATCGGGGAGGTGGGGGGGGGGGGGGGGGGGGGAAAGGCCTAGACTAGAGCTACAAAATCCTGAGCATGCCCACTTTACTGCAGGACGTCTTGCTGCTTTCTGGCACCCATCTGGGGCTGTAGTACGCTGGGGTGAAAAAGAGAAGAAAAAAAAAAAAAAGAGAAACAAGTTTACTAATTAGAAACATATGTAGAGATCATAGAAAAAAGTGAGCAACACAATTAAGCTTCAGTAGGACAGTAAAAAAACCAAAGATGTGCAATAGCAGAAAATGATAGAAACCAGATTTCAAATGACTATACTGACAGCCTGATATATGCGTTCTGCTAGTAGCAACATGTGCTGAACTCCAGGCAAATATACAAGACAGTAATTGAAAAAAAAAAAAAAAAAAAATGAATGAAGCTCCGTTATTACAAAAAAAAATAAATAAATAAAAAAATGATGTATTTGTAATAACAGAGCTTCATTATATATTTTTTGTTTTTAAATAGCCGGCAGTGACCGACAGAAAGACCAAATAAAAAAAAAAAAAAAGGACAGGGTAGTTGTACTGATCGCTGGATCGATTTCAGTACAACCAGCCTACCCATAGATCAGGGGTGTCAAACTGGCGGCCCTCCAGCTCTTGCAAAACTACAAGTCCCCCCATGCCTCTGCCTTTGGGAGTCATGCTTGTAACTGTCAATCTTGCAATGCTTCATGGGACTTGTAGTTTGGCAACAGCTGGAAGGCCGCCAGTTTGACACCCGTGCCATAGATGGATCGATTCTTAGCTGGTCCCTCCTGAACCGCCAAGATTCGATCCATCTACGGATGGTTTTAGAACTGTTTGTATGTTATGTTTAAGTGTTACTAAACTCACATAAAAAATAAAAAACTATCAATAAATGTATTACATGCTGTCAGGGGTGGACTGACCATTTAGAAACTCGGGCACTGCCCGAGGGCCCGGGGTCAGTAGGGGGCCCCATGAGATGCCCCTGGTACCTTTTTCATAGGCTTTTTTGAGTTTGGGCAAGGACACAGGGGCCCCATGATCCCCTATTTCCCAGGGGCCCCATTAGTTTTCAGTCCGCCCCTGCATGCTGTGCAAACTCACTCATTCGCTAAGAGATTTGTTTTCTGTATTCTGCAAAAAACCTGGTTGATCCTGCTGTATCTCCCCCTTTTGTCCATGTCCCCAATTTTGTCCAGCAGTGTTGGCAGCTCTGCACATGCTCAGTTTTCAGCGAGTTTTTATGCTGAGCATTTCCACGTTGTAACATCTGAGCAGCCCATGTGACTATAGAGTCACACATGTGGGAGTATACACAGTGGTAAATAACAGCCCGCTCCCTCCCTCCTCCTCCATACCTGCTTACCAACTAAACACATGTAAATTGATGGAGGCTTCACCTCCCTCTTATTCTGAGACACAGGCTAGAGGAGAGTGACAGCCTGTGAATTGCAGAAATCCGCCCACACCGTGTTTATTGCCAAAAAATAGTAAAGATTTGATTTCAAATATATATTTGTACGACAATTTAAAACGGTTTATTGGTATTATTTATTTTTACTCTGTAACCCAAAGGCTGTTGTTTTTTATTTTTTTTTAATTTCTTATTTTGAACATGTGACTGGTAGTGGACTAGAAGCTTCTCCTGCCACTGTTTCCCTGCAGACAGCTGGGAAAGATCTGGGTCATGTGACAGCTGTATATCGATTAGAAAAAAGGTACTTAGATTTTTTTTTTTAATTAAAATAATTATTGCCATCATCCACATACAGAAAGAAAAAGGGATAATACAAATTAAACAGTACGTGTTTAGGAGTTCCACTCAACCTATCAAAAAATAAAAGTCAGCAGCTACAAAAACTGCAGCTGCTGACTAATAAAAAAACAGCCACTTACCTGTCCCTCGGTCCCGTGGTGTGTCCCCCACAGCGCGTTTCACTGTCCGTCCTGTATTCATCTTCAGTGTGGGCACCCAGCTGTGATAGCTTGCAGCTTCACAGCCGGGTACCCACTGCGCATGCGCGAGTAGCGCTGCGCTTCATGAATGGTCCTGTATTCTTCTGGGACCTGTCACGTGTCCCAAAAGACTACAGGGAGGGAAGACACCTTCCGCCTAGGCGATCAGACCAGAAGTGGGAGCGGGTACCTGTCAAATTCAGGTACCTGCTCCCCAAAGGTGCCAATCCTTAATGGGGAGCAGTCCTTAAAGTGGAACTTCCCCTTTTGGTTGGAGCTCCGCTTTAAGCACATTGAGTTTGTCTATTGTGGTGACTTTGATGAGGATCAGATCCAATGTTTTGGCAAATTACAGCAGCAAAACTGGTAATGCAATGGGGATCACTTTTGCTTGTCACTGTAACTACATTAATATCTTGGCAAAACAACAAAAACCGTTTACAAAAAGGTACAATACCTTTAATTGAATATTACGTGCAGCCCTTTGGTGATGTCAAGAGTGTGACGCCACCTACATCAAGTTAGGGGGGGGGGGGAACTGAAATAGACAATTCTAGAGGCTAGCCTAACCATTATGAAAAAAACAAAAAGCAAATAAATGCAATGCTTCCACCTGTAAAGGGGGTTCATGAGTCTCCTGCTCTCGCGATTAGATATGGTGTAATCTAGAATCCCTCCTGGATTGTAAACTCCCTCCTATCCCTCTTGTATTGAACTGTATTGTTGCTGTATTATCTCCCGTTATATTGTAAAGTGCTGAGCAAACTGTTGGCGCCATAAATCCTGTATAATAATAATAATATATAAATCCTGTATAATAATAATAATATATAAATCCTGTATAATAATAATATATAAATCCTGTATAATAATAATATATAAATCCTGAATAATAATAATATATAAATCCTGTATAATAATAACAATATATAAATCCTGTATAATAATAATAATAATGAAGACTTTACAACTGCACCAAATACGTGAATAACTATTTAGCACCAGAGCAGAAAAAAATGGCCGTTTAGAAAAAAAATAAATAAATAAAAATCTGCAGAACTAATTACAGAGGCTCTTCAGTGAGATAATGACTCAAGTTTGGGTGTCAAGAATCACCATCTTCCAGTGTGTGCAGCTGTGTAAATGTTTGGCTGATGTCTCCCACTGGTAACGATGCTTTCATAAAGCTAGCCAAGTAAAAGCGGACTGCAGATCTCCATTGGAAGAGCTGGAAGCCCCGAAATGCCCCATGCTGGGCACTGAGGTCCTTTAAAGCCATACCAAACATTCACCCCCGGTTCACACCTATGTGGCCGTGCGGGCCGCGTTTTGCTCGGGCACAAGAACGCAATCATTTGAATGGACTCCCGTGCCTGTGACACGCAGGGAAGAAGTCCCTGCACTTCTTTTGAAAGCGCAGCCCCCACAGGAACCTCGGTTCCCAGTACGGTTGCGTTTTCCAGTGCGGGCGGCGTGCCATTAGAGCTAATGGCACCCGCCCGTGGGTCCGCAATTCTCTGTGCGGCTGCACAGATCCGCAGCGGCACCACCCGCATAGACGTGAACCGGGGGTCAGTGTACGTTTGTTGTCTACAGCCAATTTTTTTTTTCTCTTTCTTTTGGAATAATTCCGGGTGCCATCAGAGGGTCTGTTGATGTTCCTTTACTTCCTGTATGGTAAAAAGGTTTCCCCAGGACAGACAGAAGTGAGTGTAATTCTCTCTAAAGCCGGCCATAGATGGAGCGATTCTCTATCCTGCAACCACGGGTTGTCGCTATCAATAAACGCATATAAAATCTGACAGGGTGGTCGATCGATCAACTTGGGTACATTCAGTTCTGTCCATACATGGTTTCGAACATCGTCTCGTCCCTGCTGAACCAGCCGAGATTCAAACCATCTATGGCCAGATAGACTGGACTGTAGTAAATCCTGACAGAGGTTCTAAACAATCCCCAATATATCCAAAACTAAAATAAAAAAAAAGTTTTGATCAAAGATGCATTTTGAATTCGCTAAATATGTTCCAGGTACCTAATAACCGAAGGTGTGTGAAGTCCTGCAGATCTTTTTCTTTAGAAAATAGAAAGACTTGTCTCCCGCCAGCATGCTACAAATGGTTCTTGCTCTCTATGTGGAAGCAGTGGTCTCTCTGCTGATGTGAGAAACACCCCTTGCTAAGGCAAGCAATACATTAGTCGTTTTTGTTTGTTCAACCACCAGGATGAAAGATTAAAAAAAAATGACCTCATTCCCCCATTCACACATTCAGTGTGCATGGGGGAATTACTCCCACTGAGCTATTGTGCTTCAATGGTGGGAGAACTTCCCAGTCATCAGATTATTTCAGGTACTTATATAGCGCCATCAATTTTACTCAGCGCTTTACATATATATTGTACATTCACATCAGTCCCTAACCCTCAAGGGGCGTACAATCTAAGGTCCCTAACCCTCAAGGGGCGTACAATCTAAGGTCCCTAACCCTCAAGGGGCGTACAATCTAAGGTCCCTAACCCTCAAGGGGCGTACAATCTAAGGTCCCTAACCCTCAAGGGGTGTACAATCTAAGGTCCCTAACTCTCAAGGGGCGTACAATCTAAGGTCCCTAACCCTCAAGGGGCGTACAATCTAAGGTCCCTAACCCTCAAGGGGCGTACGATCTAAGGTCCCTAACCCTCAAGGGGCGTACGATCTAAGGTCCCTAACTCTCAAGGGACGTACAATCTAAGGTCCCTAACCCTCAAGGGGTGTACAATCTAAGGTCCCTAACTCTCAAGGGGCGTACAATCTAAGGTCCCTAACTCACATTCATACATACACATACATGTCTTTGGAGTGTGGGAGGAACACACCGATCATGCTGCCGGCTATGGCCAGCGGCGCTGATCGGTCAGGGAAAACCCAACAAAAGTCAGTTATTGAGTCCGGATCCTGCTGGACTGGCCGAATTTTGATCTACGTATGGCTGGATTAGAGCAGACCTAAAGTTTTTTTTAGTCAGCAAAGTTCATGCTCCCTGCTGATGGGAGAGTTCTA